GGCCCGGGGCAGCCCGCCTGCCTTGCAGCAGAGACAGCCAGGACACAGTGGTACCCCTCCCACCCCCTGCACCCCCGCCCAGCAGCTCACCATTCCTCAGTGTCCTGATTCTCACCTGTGCCTGTACAGAGGCAACGGAAGCACAGAAAGGTTAAAAGTGACTTGTTCAAGGTCATACAATGACTGCTGGAGGAAGGGGGATGAGAACCCATGCCTCATTGATCCCAGAAGGTCTAAGTCTAGACAACCCCAGTAAATAGCAGCTAAAGTTTATTAAATGCCCACTGTGCACAGGCCCGATTTACCCATCACCTTGCTTCCTTCACAGTCCCTCCCAAGACCTGGGAGGAAGGTCTTATTATAGTTCTGATTTCATCCAGGAGGAAACTGAAGCTCGGTTAAGTCCCTTGTCAAAGGTCACAGGGCCAGAAAATGGGACTATTGGAACCAACTGGCCACAGCACAGAGTAGGACGCTGGAATCCTAAAGAAGCAACAGGCTGTCTTATGGAGGCATGGCTCTTGGCGGGGTGTGGCTGGTGGCTGACTGGGAGAGGCCAGATGCGGCTACCCAGTTCACGGTGCACGGGACACCCCAGCGTCAGCAGGGTGAGCTCACGACCCTGCACTGAAGGGATGTGAATAGATACGCATTTCTTCTTGTGCATGTGTGTGCACGTGCGTGTTAAACAGGGTCTCGCCACGTCCCGATCCACCTGCCTCAGCCTCCTGAGTAGCGGGGACTACCAGCAGTAAGCCACCACACCTGCCTTTGCAGGATGGGCTGGGAATTGAACATACGCCTTGTGGGCTCACCTGCCAAGCAGCAGTGTCACTCTGCATAAGCTACTGTGCCAGGCCTAGATTTTGTATGGGGTGATGGTCATACCACTCTGTCAACCTACTAAAGCCCACTCAGGGGTCTACCTCAAAAGGGTGAATTTGATGGTGAATTTTGAAACATATACACACACTCCACAGAGCCACATGGTTTCAGATGTGGAACTGTTCTGTGAGTTTTTATCTATCTATCTATCTATCTATCTATCTATCTATCTATCTATCTATCTATCTATCTATCTATCTATCTATCTATCTATCTATCTATCTATCTATCTATCTATCTATCTATCTATCTATCTATCTATCTATCTATCTATCTATCTATCTAT